GGTAAGCAGAGTCTAAAACATGCATTGAACAAGACAAAATTTTAGACATATTAAGCAAAGGAGTAAGTAGGAGAGAGGGCAGAATGTAAAACATACATTGAACATGACAGAACTTTAGACATGCTGAGCAAAGATATAAACAGGAAGACAAGTTGAAATCATAATTGGTGGACTAATGCAGGGATGAAACACATAGGGTTTGATTTTCAAAACTTAATTAGGGACATACCAGTTAAGGAGAGCAGGCACAAAGTATATAGTAGTATAGTGCAATAACTAGCTTTGGCTTACAGCCGGCTAGTTCAATAGAAGTAGCAAGTAAAAGAAAAGATCAGAAAGCTTAAGTATAAGAGAGAGTTTTTGAACTAGTGTTCGTTGTCGTCCAGAACTTAGAATAAAGGGGGCTTATATAGTAATCAAAAACTTAACAAATAAGGTAAGAGATCAATTAAGTAGCAAAATCAAGGAATCACATGTATTAGCAAGATCTTTTCCTCAATCAAGGGACAATTAAATCAACGGTAAAACTTGCTAAGTATTTAGGGAAAAGAATCAAGTAAAGTTTAGGTATAGAATAGGTAATTGGGGATAAATGAACAATAGTTTAATTAAGGAAATAAATCAGTAATAATAAGTGGAATGCAAACAAGGCACGAAAAACAATTAAGGCAAGCAAATTCAATTAAATTGAGTAAAGAGGTAAGAATCAAATGTTTAAAGGAAAACGTTCAAATTAAACCAGGAAATAAGGGATTCAGAGTAATCAAGGGTTCAGAAAGTCATGAAAAAGTTGGCATATAAAATAAGGTAGAACATAGATAGTTAGGATTTCACATAACTTTAACAAAACACATGATTAAACGACACTGATTCAAGGAGAAATATACAACTCTTAGCATGAATGGTCAGAAGGAGCACAAGCGCATAAAATCAGTGAAAGGTCGAACTAAGAAATTTAGTAGAAGCATATTAGGACTAGAAAATCACAGGAAATCAGAAAAACCCAAAGCAAGAACACAGTCAGATGCACCGGTACTCAGAAACCAAACAAAAAACCCTAGAAAATTAGGGCTTTCAGTACAAATGGGCTGATTAGTCAAAATATATGAGAAGCAGAAGTTTAAACACAAAAAATCATCAAAGAAATTTTAAAAGAAATTCGGAAACCCTAGTTTTAGGAAAAAATGAAAATCGCTTGAAAATCACTCAATTATTGTAAAGAATCCCAAGGCTGTTGTAAAACTCACATGAAACAAACCCAAATCATCTTAGATCTGTACAGATCTAAGAGGTTTAGAAAAGAAATTAAGGTTTCGAAAAGAACCATAGAGAGCTGAAGGAACATGTTTAGAAAACTATAGATCGAAGTCAATATAGGACGATCTCACTCAGAATCACACCGGAATGGCCTGAAACGGGCAAAGGAGGAGCCATAGGTGCAAGTCGCTAACCCTGGTCCCTTGAGGTCCATGGATATGGCAAGAACAGCATGAGAGAGGCCATCGGAGGCCTGAGAGGTGGTGATAGGTCATCGGAGATGGCCATAGATGAGTGACGGCGTTTGGAGATTAGGGTTAGGTTAAGAGCATTTGAGAGCAGGGAGGATTTCAGGGCGGCGGGTGTGTAGAAATGATTTAGGGTTAGGGGTTATTAGGAATAAAAAGAGAAGGTTTTAACGGGGGCACTGATCTAAAGGACCAACGGCCACGATCTGATGGGGTTTTGGGTCGGGTAGGTGTTCCTAAGTTAGGCTGGGTAATTTTGGGGTCCGGTTCGACTGAATTGGGATTGGGGAGGGTTGGAATTAGGCTAAAATTGAAATGAAATTAGGCTAGATTTTAAATATCTATTTTAATACTATAAAAATTATAAGAAAATAATAAATGATTTCTAAAAAATAATTTCATGTACTAAAATAGTTTTAAATAGTTATTTAACATTTAAAAATATAAAAGACCATTTTATGTATTAATAAAGTAATTATGCATTAATAGGGCTAGTATTGCAAATATATGCAAATTAGCTTAAAAAATATAAATGCAATTATAAAAATGCACTAAAAATATTTAAACAATATTTTGGCATAAATATAGAATTTAGATGGCTAAATCTCCAAAAAATAATTTGAAGAATAATTATTGGAAATTTTATAAATAAAAAGGGAAGAAATAAATTAATTTGGAGCTTTTAAAAATTATAAATATTGCATAAAAAATTATAAAAATGCTCACGAAAGCTTATAACTGCACATATGATATTTTGAAAGTATATATATGTATTAAAAAATATTAAAAAAAATTGGGTATCAACAAATTCAATCCGGGCTCAGCCCGAGGAACGACAAAGGGCTCCACAGGATATCGTATTAACCGATTAAGGACCAGAGAAACACCGACACCCAGGCTCGGTATTCGGACCGATCGGTAGAATCATGCACTCAGATTCTTCACAAATACAAGTAAAAGGAAATCCGGCATAAATCATGTACAAAATTAAAGAAACACTTTTTCATTAGTAAAGGACGATTACAAAAGCCCACGAAGGGTCCTTATACAGAAACAGAGAAGCCAGAGAAAAAAGAAAAAATGTATATAACATCTACAAGCCTAATCTGCTCTCGGGGGTACATCCTCGGGGGTAGTGTCTTCAAGAACTGTTCCCTTGGGGCCTCCTCTCGATCTTTCAAACGGTATCTTCAAGATTAAAGAAGAAGAAGAAGAAGAAAACGATGAGGAAGAAAAAGAAAAAGATGAAGAAGAAGCAGAAAAAGATGAGGAAGAAGAAGAAGAAGCAGAAAAAGATGAGGAAGAAGCAGTAAAAGATGAAGAAGTGGATGGGTGAAAGATCTGGCGAGTATGGGTCTCGCCAACACTACTATTGTGAAGCCACTTCTTGAGACGTTGCACTGGTGCGGGATGCAACAATTAGTAGATGGTACCACCTCACTCCACGGAAAGCAAAAGGAGCGAGGCGCCGCACCAGGTAATTAGGGGAGATGAGTAGAAGTTCTAGTCCGCATATCCTTTAATGCGAAGATAATTTGAGATTTCTCTCTCATTATCTCGGGCCAACAACAACAACAACAACAACAAAAAATCAGTACAATCCCGGTCAGTAAGGGAAAGCTCTAGGAAAAGGTCATGGCGTAACTGATGAGAACACTGCCATGTGACTTAAGTCCACGAGCCTCAAACATGAGAAATAACAATGGATGAGGATCAAGAGAAGAAAGGGGTAAAAGGCTATTGAAGAACGTTTGAATGAAGCTTGGTTCAAGAAGGCTTACATTTATAGAAAGGGTGGCAGCGTAACCGACGACGCAATCAATTTCTTTGAAAGACGTACCGACAGGCGCAATCAATGCGTTTTGGGAAATGAACCGGCAGCGATATTATCGCTTTGGAGAATATAAACCGGTGATACATTGAATAATTCTGGAAAGATGAACCGACGGGACGCCTCAGTTATCACGAAGGCTTACGTCATAAGTATGACACCATCGTGGGAAGTTCGAAGAAATGGATATTAAAGTCATTTCTTATCGTTTCACTCTAAGAAATGTGGGGACTATCTGTATACAGTAAAATCGTAGGGTCCAATTTTTGGTCATTACGATGCTTCATAAGCATGTTTCCATAGGCTCGAAATTATGGTCGAGATTAACACCCGAGGGGTTATCGACGTTCAACATCGGGGTAGTGTAGATCGATAGTTATGGTGAAAAAGTGGGAAGCTCCCAAGGCATGTGACTAAAGCTGACCTGATCTATTTGGCTAGTTCAAGCCCGTACTGTGGCATTAAATAGTTGTACCAACCATGTATCTTTGTAATAAATGCATTTGTACTATGTTGGGACTCCCCCTCATATATAAAGAGGACCCTTGTTATTTTGTAAATGATCTGAGTCACACAGCGTTGAATATTCAAGAACATTCTCTTTGCTTTCTAACTTAACAAATTCTCTTGATTCCATTACTTATATTTATTGCTTACATTTATTGTGTTCTTCATTTATTGCCCATTATTGGCCATAAAGAACCGCCATCGAATTTATCATAATTGTCAATCCTTCATCGACTGCCCCTGGCTGGGCACTCAACTCGACCTCGAGGCCCCGTATACACAAACTCGAGGCTTCGATTTCAAGCCATTCAGTTTGATCATTATACCATCTGCAAGCTATTATCTCATTGTTTCTAATCTTTCACTTAGTATCTATTGCCTAACAACTAACATAAAAATAGATCACGTATTTTTAGAACCACAAAATCAAAGCTAATTGTTATTACCATTTTCAAAGTAAACACATGCTCTAAAATGTGAAGAGGAAATCCACTTTTAACGAAAAGTTAAAAAGATAAAATATATATTTTTTTTTTACCATTTTCTTTAAGTTTTATTTGGTAAAAGTTCACTTTGCAATTTTCACCTAGACATTTTGAATAATTTCACAGAAATTCTTCCCCATTCATGAAGTTAACGAAAATTTAAGATAATAAAACTTCTTCCCCATCCCAGACGTGTATAAAAATAACCTTCACCACCGAGGATTGCGTGCATCTATCCTTAATCAAATATTTCAACTTTATGTTTTGATAATGAACAAAATTCAGCAAGAAAGCGTTTTAACCTTTTCACGGGCTTTACACAATACAAGTCCAATGTAGTTAGTATCCCAATACTAGTGCCGACGCCTGATGGGAAAATGCAAAAGGGCCCAAAAAAAAAAAAAAAAAAAAAGAAACCC